GCGGTCGGTCGGTCGGTCGGTTTGCCGGTGGTCGGTCTCCATCATTAAATCTCTTCCGGTACATCGCGCCTACATCATCCCTCATGTAACCAACCAATCAAATCATTTAGAAAACAAAATAAAATAATAATTAAAAACCGAGTCATCAATGAGTCATCACATCCGAGTTGGTTGCGGATAAAAAAGTAAAAAAGTCCACATTTGTTAGATAAACAGTATTGGATAAACCTTCTCTTTTCCTTTTATCTCTCTCTCTCTCTCTCTCTCTCTCTCTGAGCTGTATAATATTAGACGAACTCTGCTTTGATCAGAGAAGACTCTGTTGCTGTTGTTTTCATCAGAATCAGGATTCTATTCCAAGATGATGGAGTTGTTCTTACTCGGTTGCACCGGAGTTGTGGTGTTTCTTCACGGCGCCAATTTCTTCTTCCACGTTCTCTCGCAGCATCTTGTTGTTCGTTCCCTCAGGTTCATCCTCATCCTTTTGGTTTTCTCTTGAATCAATCTTGTGAAAATTCTCTCTTAAATAGATTTTTTCTAGTTTATCTTCTCCCCTGCTGACATTAAAGAACAAAAGAATTTTTCGATTTTCGGGTTAAGAAAAAATTAGGGTTAATTTTTTAGTTTGGTTTTGGTTTTCCTGACCTTTTTCTTATGCGATTTATATAAATTTTTATGATCTATGCTTAACATGTGAATGTGATGTAAGATCTGGATGTGATTATCAAGCAATATGGTAATCTGAATTTCGTTTTTGCTTGTTTGGCTTAGAAAGATTCAAGAACTTCCGTGAGACTGATTTGATTTGTTTGATTGAGAACCTTGCTGTCATTTTTGAGGTTGAAAAATTCTGGATAACGTATATGTGTGTATATTTTGATTAGAGGAAGAAGTCTGGATATTTCAATCCATTCTGTTTTTCCTTTTCGTTTTTACTGCAATCTGCAAATATCTATGCATAATTAGTATATGATGAAATGTAGCAATCGCAAAAACAAAAGATTTATAACATTTGGGTTGTGTTTGGTTTCAGTTTCTTGGGATTTGTTGGGTGGTAGAGATGAGATGAAGAAGACAATATACTTGTTGGCAGATTCATGGAGGTATATAGAGACTATATATAACTTAGTTCTTTTTTTTATGTTACCCAGAATGGGAAATAAGTTGTAAGTAAGGCTTTGTTGAACATCATAACTTATAATTATTATTTTTTAGATTTGTTCTGTGATCTCAGTTTTTGTTTGTAAAGTTTCCATATCATTCTGTGCTGATGAGTGTTGAGATAGGTTCTTTAATGGTGCCATTGGATGAAAATAATGAAATCCTGATCTCACTGATTATCAGTCTTAAACTAAACCCTTCTGTTTGAGGGGAGGATTTTGGATCCAATTCATGGAAAACACAATCTCATACCCAATAAGAGATAACTAAATCTTACAACTTCTGATCGATTTATTTATCATTTGATTAGTTTGATATTATTTTTATTATATTGTCTTATTATTTAATCAGTAAAATATCGGAAATATTCAAATTCGCAATAAGAATATAACTATTTTAAATCTAATAACTATGAGGACTTCAAAGTAAGGATAAATTAGAGGGTAAAGATTCTTGGAACAGAAGTTGGATTTACAGAACAAAAGATCTTTGCTCTCTTAATTGTTTGCTTAGAGTAGAAGTTGAATGTATAAAAGCAAGAGATATTTGTTCTCTTAATTGTTACTTAAATGGTTGTTTGGTGTATTAAATATTAATATGAGCAGGTGAGAATGGAAGATCACATGGGAAGTTGCTTTTGGTTGTTGGGTTGATTCTTTTTCTTCTCATCAAAACTCAGTTTCATCTTCCTCTTCACCATTGCACTCAGTGACAAACTACAAGCAACAGTTGGTGAAGTATTTTGTAAAACCTAACTCACAAAACTCACCCTATCAACTTAGTTCTTAACTTCAACAGTTACACACGGTGTCATGTTTGGCACTCGAGTAGAATAAATTACAGATTAAGTAAAATGAGATAAGACATTTTGTAAGTTAATGATTGAATAAGAAAATATAAGTATAACATACTATATTGTTTTTCTCTTAATACATATTTAATGAATTGTATAAATTTGTTTGATTATTACACATACATTTGTCTCTTCCAAACCATTATTCATATCTGAATCTTAGATGAAATTGGATTATAAAATTTTGAGTTTTCTTTGAAACATCTCCAAGAATTTATTTATAAACTATTGGATTTCACATGCCCAACTCTCTCACTCATTTTTTCTTTTTGTAAATTATTATTATTTTTTTATTTATCATTATCTCGTACAGATACAATTTAAATAAATAAATTCACTATGTCGAATCATTTGTTATTATTCCATAAAATATATTTCAATAAACTAAATTTGTGCAACTTAATTTATTATTTGTTAAAATATCAAATTGAATAAAATTTAAAATCATTTAAAAAAAATGTTTTTTTTAATCATACGCCATAAATTGATATCGTAAAAATTATTATTTAAATATGTATTTATTTCTAAAAAGTATCTATTTAAATTAAAGGGTATTAGATTTTTTTATAAAAAAAAATATTGGCATGATTCATCAAAATCTAATTCTTTTTAGAGTTCAATATTTTTATTAAATGAACTGAACTTTGTATTTTATTTTTAAGATTACCAATTCAACATTTTATTTTCAAATCGAGACGATTCCCATCCTATAATTTATGCATCTTATAAAAAATCTTTGGTAAATCTTTTACTGTTAATTTTAATGTGAAATTCAAAGATTTATAATATAAATGTTATCAGTAGCGTTTATACATGAATATGTATCAGCCTTAAAAGAATCATCTTTTTTACATGTAAATATGTATATTTATCTCAAAATTCAGATTCACTGTCGGTAGGAAGTCATATATGAAATTCAGATAGTTTGCAGCAAAACACAGAAAAGGAAAGAAATTAATCTTTAAAGCCGGCGGAAACGGACACAGAGGGTCTTCTTCTGAGCTCAAAGCTGGTAAATGCTCAAATGGATCATGTTTTGGCGCCTCAACTCCCCTGCAAAAATCTCTTCACCAAGCCTTCTCTCCCTCAACCCATTTCCTCTTCTCTTCTAAATGTATCCCAACTTCTAACGAGTACCCACAACTCATCTCCCAGTTGAGCTTAAACCAAGACTGTCTTTTGGCGCCAACCGAAATACCATACTTCAAGCTTCTGTCCCACTGCATTGCTTCAAAATCTCCAAGTTCAGGCAAAGAAATTCACTCCCATATTATAAAATTTGGATTATCAAATCATTCAAAGTTCCGAAACCATTTGATCAATTTGTATGCTAAGTGTCGAATTTTCGGGTATGCCCGGAAACTGGTTGATGAAAGTCCTGAACCGGATTTGGTTTCTTGGTCTGCGTTGATATCTGGGTATGCCCAGAATGGACTTGGTCAAGAAGCAATTTTGGCTTTTCATGAGATGCATGTATTGGGTGCTAAGTGTAATGAGTTCACTTTTCCCAGTGTGCTCAAAGCTTGTACTCTTACCAAGGATTTGAAATTGGGAGTACAGCTTCATGGGATAGTGATGGTTACAGGGTTTGAATCCGATGATTTCGTTGCAAATGCTTTGGTTGTTATGTATGCAAAGTGCGGGGAGTTTGGTAATTCAAGGAAACTGTTTGATTCAATTCCGGAACCAAATGTTGTATCTTGGAACGCCTTGTTTTCTTGTTATGTGCAGGGTGATATGTGTGAAGAGGCAGTTGAGTTGTTTCAGGAAATGGTTTCAAGTGGAGTAAGACCTAATGAGTATAGTCTGTCTAGCATGGTAAATGCTTGCACAGGCATGGGGGATAGCGGACAAGGAAGGAAAATTCATGGGTATTTGATTAAGCTGGGGTATGATTCGGATGCCTTCTCATTGAACGCCCTCGTTGATATGCATGCAAAAATAGGAGAGCTTGAAGATGCTGTTGCTATTTTTGAGGAGAATGCACATCCTGATATTGTTTCTTGGAATGCTGTTATTGCTGGTTGTGTTCTAAATGAATTTCATGATTGTGCTTTGGAATTTTTTGGGAAAATGAAAAGGTCGGGGATATATCCAAATATGTTTACTTTGTCAAGTTCTCTGAAAGCTTGTGCTGGAATTGGACTCAAGGAATTAGGTAGACAGTTGCACTCAGATGTAATAAAGATGAATGTGGAGTCAGATTCTTTTGTGGTTGTTGGACTAATAGATACTTATGCCAAGTGTGATATGATGAAAGATGCAAGAATGGTTTTTGATCTGATGCCAGAGAAAGACATGATTGCATGGAATGCCATGATCTCTGGACATTCACTAAATGGAGAAGACATGGAAGCCGTGTCGCTCTTTAGTCTGATGTACGATGAGGGAATAGGATTTAATCAGACAACTTTATCAACAGTCCTGAAATCTATAGCTAGTTTGCAGGCTAGCAACCCTTGTGAACAAATTCATGGACTGTCCGTAAAATCAGGGTTTCCATCGGACAATTATGTTGTAAACAGTCTTATTGATGCTTATGGAAAAACTGGCCAGATAGAAGATGCATCAAAACTATTCAAAGAGTGTGCTATTGCAGATTTGGTGGCCTTCACATCTATGATCACTGCCTATGCTCAATATGGACAAGGTGAAGAAGCTCTAAAGCTCTATTTGGAAATGCAACATAGAGATATAAAGCCAGATCCATTTGTTTGCAGTTCTCTCCTAAATGCATGTGCAAATTTGTCAGCATATGAACAAGGGAAACAAGTTCATGTTCACATTTTGAAGTTTGGATTCATGTCAGATATCTTTGCTGGGAATTCTCTTGTTAACATGTATGCAAAATGTGGAAGCATAGATGATGCTAATCGTGCCTTCTTTGAGATACCCGAGAGAGGAATAGTCTCATGGTCTGCGATGATTGGAGGACTAGCTCAACATGGGCATGGGAAAGAAGCGCTCCAATTATTCAATCAGATGCTTGACAATAGGATTTCTCCAAACCACATAACTCTAGTTAGCGTCCTTTGTGCTTGCAATCATGCAGGCTTGATAACTGAAGCGCAAGAGTATTTTAAATCAATGAGAGCCTTATTTGGAATAGAGCCTGTGCAGGAGCATTATGCTTGCATGATTGATCTCCTTGGCAGAGCTGGGCGATTACAGGAAGCGATGGAGCTAGTCAATAACATGCCATTTCAAGCTAATGCCTCAGTCTGGGGGGCACTTCTTGGCGCTGCAAGAATCCATAAAAACGTCGAGCTTGGCCAACTAGCTGCTGAGATGCTTTTTGCTCTGGAACCAGAAAAATCTGGTACTCATGTCCTTCTAGCCAATATTTATGCATCAGCTGGCATGTGGGACAGTGTAGCAACGATGAGAAGGCTCATGAAAGACAGCAAAGTAAAGAAAGAGCCTGGAATGAGTTGGATTGAGATCAAAGACAAGGTGTACACTTTCATTGTAGGAGACAGAAGTCATGCTAGAAGCAAGGAAATCTATGCAAAGCTTGATGAACTCAGTGACCTCTTGAACAAAGCTGGTTATGTTCCAATGGTAGAGACAGATCTTCATGATGTGGAACAAAGAGAAAAAGAGCACCTTCTTTACCACCACAGTGAGAAACTTGCTGTGGCTTTTGGGTTGATTGCAACTCCCCCAGGAGCTCCTATCAGAGTGAAAAAGAATCTCAGAATCTGTGTGGACTGCCATACAGCATTCAAGTTCATTTGTAAAATTACCTCCAGGGAAATTATCGTGAGAGACATCAACAGATTCCACCATTTTAGAGATGGGTGTTGTTCCTGTGGAGATTATTGGTGATATTAAGTAGAGCTGAAGTTAGTGTAGGTGCTGTACTAACTGTATACACACTTTGACCGATCAGTTATAAACCTGCTAAAGCCTCAAGATCAACTTATCGTGAACATCTACATTTTTTTCCAATTCAGACATTTTTTTTAAAAAGTTTTGTAATCATATTTGATGTATTGATTTAAATCTGCTCTGGCAATAAAAGAAGTTTTACCGTTGTAAGTGCATTCATATGATGTGAAAATTATTCCCTTAATTTATTATACTCCCACTTTGTTTCTCTAATGAGTGATTGAACACTTGAACAAAAGGCTCAACTTAAAGCTAAGAATAGATACAGAAAAGGGTAAAAAAACACCAAAGAAAAGAAGAGAGATGAAGGACCCAATAGAAAATAATGAGTTGCCACACCAGGCTGCTTCTAAACAAATAACATCAATTGAAGGTATAAGTAATATACACGAACGCATTTACAACTCATTATCAATCAATATATCTGTTCCCTAAGAGATTTTTCTTATATCAACATCATGGAATCCTCTGACATCATAGTTAACAATGAATACTTGCCTCTGATCGAGATTTTGCCACCCTCTACACAGAGCTTGGCTCCGGTAACCACCCAGTACCCGGGAGAGTCTTCGGGACCCCTAGCTTTTTCCTTTGTCTCCACAAAGGTTGACATTTTTGGTGCCTTTGGTGGTGGACCTCCTGGATAAATTGCAGAATTTATATCTACTTTTTCCTGCTTCTCTGAAGGTGGCAGAATCAAACCAGTACTGAACTTCGTACTCAATGCTGAGAACACACCTGACTTTCTTGACGATGTTGAAGGGCCATCCCATTCTGATTTACGAATCTTGGCAGATGCCACGGTTGAGAACCCGAGCCTCAGGAACAAAACTTTTCTCATCCCAACACCCTTCACCTCTAACCAGGCCTTTGTCACGATAGAAGCAGGATCATCAATACAGGCTCCAGTATACTCTACAGGGGCGGTACACACATGAGAGAATATGCTCCACTTCACAGGTTCATAGAAGCCTCGTTCAGCAGGCTCATCAATTGGCTCATAGCTGTGATCATCCGAGAGCTGGAGACTCTGAGGAAGACTGGACAGATGTTGAAGATGGATTGCCAGATGGTCACTCTTCTTGCCTTCCAAGTATAAACGGACTCCAGTCACTGGTCGATTTTCAGAGTCAACCTGCAATCAGATGATTTAGAAACCAGGAAAGATAAAAAAAATTTAAACAATAAGAAAACTAATGTCATGGTTGAACGGAGAGAATACACATTTTATTTAAGATTTCTTAAGTGAGAAGCACAGTAAAAACAATAAGCCTGACTAACATCCTGTAAGATGTATATTACCCAACCATTAAGGTTTCATCAGTCGAAATCTAAAAACTAAACTAAACTAAACCCCTAGTATTTCTTTGTACAAATATTAGGAGATCTGATTGACAATTTTGACTGACATGTAAATATCTTTGTATACGAATTGCATCCCCTTGATGTTTCTAATATATTATATTTTTTCTTTCCAAAAAAAAGAGTACAGATGTATAGTGGCCACCATTAAACATGCCAGATCCAGAATTTTACGCCTCGCTTTATCTGCCAAGGGAAAGAATATATGCAACTAGGGATTCCTATTGACATATGTAAATTATTCATATTACCCAAAAGAAAACAGAAAAAAAAAAAAAGTTATTTTTCCATCTCTTTTGATATGGACGAACCATGGTACTCAAAATCCATACAGCTCGAATACATAAAACTAAGGTTCCGGCCACTGAGATGTCTCCGTGAATACCTTCACACCATTTGTTGAAAAAGAATGATGTTTCCTCTTAAAACTAAGAAATAAAAAGAATAATCACAAAGCATTTTTTAAACTGACAACTATTTGCGTGAGAAGGCTTATGGTCAATGAGGAATTACCAGTGTGGTATTGACATATAGCTTTGGACCCATAAAAGAAAACTGGAGGGAGGGAGACACTTGTTTTCTGTGCCTAAGGCCAAGAGGAAGATCACCATAAACTGGAGCCCATTGCCGAGGTAACTGAAATTCTAGAAATTGATGCAGTTCCTCTATTGGTGGTTTATCTGCAATAACATTCAGCCCAATAGATAATTAAAGAAATGATGTTTTCTGGTAAAATCAGCAAGACTAGTTGCCTCGCCATTTTATGTGATAATGCAAGTGAGATGAGTTAATACCAGTAGTTGAGTGTTTAGATGGGGAAAGTCACTTATAAAGAACTCATTAACAGCACAAGAAGCCATATACTCACATCTAATATACAAGTTTACTGCATGGGTTAGAAATCCACTGCCTTGGATGCCAGCCAAGAGTGAAGTTATAGGCACAAAAGACATTGATATAACATTAGGTGATTGCGAGATAGTTGAGAGCCACTGCTTATGGCTTTGACCTCTATCAATTCCTCCTCTCCGGATGCAAATTCTCACAATTTCCTGAAAAGAAATACACAGAACATTCAAAATCTAGATCTACAAAGTAGCCTGCTTCCACTGGGTTCAGTTAAGGTATCATCCATTATAATTATAGCATATAACAAAGATGTTACCTCAGCCTTTGAATGGGTGATGACAGATGACCTAACCGAGTTAGCAAATGCTCCATAATCCCAGGGCATAGAATGCTCTTCCTGTAAGGGGAAAAGGTGATTAAACAAAACAGAACAAGATTTCAGCATGGATTCACATCATTGCCTTTTCTGTGAGCTTTTAGACAAAAGAGGATAAGAATACTTGAATATGTTTGATATCAAATTTTGAAGAATGTATTATATGTAATTAAATTAAGAGAATTAGGTCAAAAGGTATTGTTGCAAAAAATGCTTTATATAATTAATTGTTTACTTCCTTTTCTGCTTTAAAAAACCTGTATAAATAGGGTCATGATATCCGATAAAATACATACTCAACTATTCTTAATGTAGTATCAAAATTCTAGGAAAAATCTCTCTTTTTTGCAGACTCTAATCAGCATTCATTACCAAAATAAGATGAACCCTGAAGGGGCTAGTCTTTATTGTCGGCCACTACAGTCCCAGCCACTGGCAACCACAAGATCGATCATTAACCATTAAGATAAGCCTTCATTGCCAGCTCCAGCCCTCCAACCGCACGGTCAGAATCTGTCCAGCTCAGCCACACACCACCTTGACAGCCACTGCTTCAGCCTCCAGTCCAACCATAAGTAGCCTTCACAAGTCGCGCGCTTCTACTCATCAGCACGCTCCAGCCACACATTGGCTCTTTTACATGCAGCGAACAGCCGCGTAGCCACTACAAGCTGCATCCATCCCCTGCGCAGAGGCCACAGCACAGCCGGCTCTTCCGGCACTCAACCCTTTGTCGCAAACAACTTGGAAATTCTGTTTCAGCCCAGTAATCCCTAATTTTTTGCTCTATTTAATCGGCCATACTTGCCTCATAATAGTCAGGTCATCTTAGAGATTTTCATCTCAAGTTACTGGTGCAAACCCGCCATAGCTAATCCATGACAACCAATTGGAGAATCCCAACCAGCCTATCCCCTAGCAGGAAGAACTACTTGAATTGGTTACAACTAATGCATATCATTCTCGAAGGAAAATATGAAATCAGCCACATTTTGAGCACTGGACTAAAACTGGAAGACCCAATATTTGATACATAGGATGAAGAGGACTTGATGATGACGACTTAACTTTGGAATTCAATGGCCTCAAAGATAAGACAGTTATGTTCCTACTAAATGCGAAAAAGATTTGCAATGTAGTTAGAGAAACTTATTCTAAAGTTAAAGATGTTGCCCATATATACGACCTAATGATCAAAAGATGGTCTACAAAAAAGGGAAACACGTCAGCCACTGAGTGTCTTAACCTCCTAAAAAATTGGTGGCAGAAATTAGACCAGTACTACTACCTTACTATGAATTACAGAAATGCAGCCCACTTGAAGCAATATATGGAAACATATCGTGCCTACAAATTCATGGCTGGCCTCATGTTAGAGTTTGATCAAATCATAGTCCAAATCTTGGAAAAAAAGACTCACCATCACTAAATGAGATAGTCTCTACTGTAACTGCAGAGGAAGACAAGAGGTGGGTCACTAGAACCCCGTCCCAGTGAGAGATAGCTCAGCCCTATTTTCAAAAAGGTCCAAGCCATATCAACAGGTGAAAGAACCAAGTCATACTAAAACCTCAAGTTCTTGTAGAGAAACCAGAGACAATCTTTGGTGTATGTTTTGTAAGAAGCCCAAAAACACTTGGGAAAAGTTTTAGAAACTTTATGGAAAGGTCAATACATCAAGTAAGGAATGATGATACAAGAATATCCACAAAACTCTATAAACAAGCTCATGTGGTCAACTAGTAGGAGAAGAAAAAACCCACTGATCTTAATGAATTCAAGACTGAAACTGAACAACTAAAAGGTAGACTTGAGGATCTTGAAAAACCCAAAGGTAATAGCTTGGTGATACACTCAGGTACATTTTCTTCCTCACATGGTTTAAATGTCTTGGATAGACCTTTTGAAAGGTTATGAATAACAGAGTCAAAAGACTTTGACCATCTGACCAACTCTTCAGAATATTTAATTAAGGATTTACATTTCGATGTATGTGGATTTGTTAAACATAAGCATATATCATTTCCCAATAGCAATAAAAGAAGTACAATTTATTTTAATTGATTCATCATGACATTTGAGGATCATCCTCTATTTCCACATTCCTGAAACTCGGTAGTTTGCATCATTTATTGATGATTGCACTACAATCATATGACTTTCTTATTTAAATCCAAATCTAATATCCTAATTTTGCAATAATCAAAACCCAATTTGGAACCCCTATTGATCCTTTTTTCACCAAAGAGAGATTATTCATGAATCTTCACGCCTCCATACTCCACAATAAAACTGAGCAGCAAAATGCAAAAATAGCAATCTTTTTGCTACCACCTTTATTCTAGACTCACGTTCCAAGAGAATACTAGGGCAAAGTAGTCATTACCACTGTCTATATTATTAACCAAATGTCCTCAAGTGTCCTAGATTCTAAAAGTTCACTGGAAACACTCTCAAAATTCTACTTAAAAGTCAGTGTTACAAACCATTGAGTCCCTCGAATATTTTAGGAGTGTCGCCTTTGTTCATATTCATTCCAATTAAAGAAAATTACAATTGACCTTAATACTAGTAATGAATTTATGGTTTTACCTTCACTTCCTCACGGCTCAAAGGGAGACTTTCATCTATATCTTCAGAAAATCTATCATCAGCAAATTTCTTTAACATTGTTTGTATATCAGTGGGCTGAAGGTTTGAATTTTGTAACTGCTTTATGTGAACTATATCTTTACCTCCCATCTTTACCCCAACAACAACATGAGTACCATATTTTTCAATAAACCTGGAAAATCATCATATAGTTAAATATTAGAATTGTGCAAACAATGCTGAAAGTACCCAAGTAAACAGATAATAAGCAAAATTCTTCAACAGAAAAAGAGGTGCAGTAAGAAACCATCAATGTAAAACAGCTAATTAAATTAAAACTCTAACAATGAACCATAAATAATAAATGTAAGCAAATCTGCAAATACTCATTTAGACATACTACTCTAGAACCTAACTATGTCCATGGTATGAAGTGTGAGTCTCACAGTCCTATATCCGGTACTTAGCTCTTTCAATGATGTGGATATGCAATTCATGGGATAGTTGATAATGCGAGAATGCAACCTTTTGTCTGATTTTCTTCATTACATCAAAACAGATTCAAATAACATGAGAGGATGACTTCTTCAAACAATCCCCATGTTAGATGTGTTAGAAGCTAACTAGGGTGCCCGGTATCATTTTCTTTCTTATGCTTCAACTTAAAATGTATGACTTTTTCTACTCAGTTTATTTTAGTGCCTTGTTCCTAGAACCTGCTTGGAGCATGTTTCTGGCTCCACAAAAGCTGGCGTGTATGTTCACTATGGACAAGACTACACGAGTACATCCACAAGCAGACAGAATATTTACTGCCCAGTAGGACTTAAAAAAGAACATTGTGCATCTTTAGATGACAAATATGCTATAACATTCAATTGTTGAACTTTTGGTTTAAGAAACTCACTCAGCAAGAGCAGCAGGGTCCCAGGAAGATGGCACGTCTCGTTTCACTTGCTCAGACAGCATTATCTGTGACCTTGCCAATTCGACATTATATAGACTGATGCACCATCCATCAAAAGCAAGACTTTTCACACTAACTGCGTCCTTCTGCCAACAGCCTTTGAAGTCGAACATGGTATTAAATAGACCAGAAGGAATTTTACCAGATAAAGACACTTCCTGATTGAACTTCTCTGACATCTGGATTAAATATTGTTAGCAACATAGTGTAAGTCTGAGAAAGTAACATGTGCGCTAAAACTTTAAATCTGAAAATCCCATCACAAGATTCTCCCTACCATCATAGAAATCCCGTTAAAAATGCCACCACAAACCCTCCCTTCCCACCTTTCCCCTCATCCTCCCCACACCCCCCCCCCCCCCCCCACAGTTGATGCTTTTTTTTTTTTTTAATAAAAATATAAAAATCAAAATCTGTCTACTTTGCTCCATCCA